CCAGGATGGTCTCGATCTCTTGACCTCGTGATCCACCCACCTCGGCCTCCCAAAGTGCTGGGATTACAGGCTTGAGCCACCGCGCCCGGCCTATGACATTATTTTTAAGAACCAAAAACTAGAAACAACCTGGCTGCATGCAGTGGCTCATGCCTGTAATCCAAGCACTTTGGGAGGCCAAGGCAAATGGATCATTTGAGGTTAGGAGTTCAAAACCAGCCTGACCAACAGGATGAAACCCCGTCTTTACTAAAAATACAAAAATTAGCTGGGCATGGTGGCAGGTGCCTGTAATCCTAGCTACTAGGGAGGCCAAGATAGGAGAATCACTTGAACCTGGGAGGTGGAGGTTGCAGTGAGCCGAGGTTGCACCATTGCACTCCAGCCTGGCGGACAAGAGTGAGACTGAGTCTTAAAAATAATAATAATAATAATAATATACCATGATTTATTTACCAATACACTTATTGATAGATATTTAGGTTGTTTCCAGGTTTTGCCTTTACAAACATTGCTGAATGAACAACCTATAAATATAGCTCTGTATACCTGAGTGATTATAATTATCGAGAAAATTATCTTTTGTTTTTTCAAATATTCAGTCCCTGTAGACTGTCAAAAAATTGCCAATACTGACTATATTTCAAGTCGTCATGTTGTGGTATTGGGAAAAGTTTTCAATTAGCAATAATCGTGCCTCAGATAAACCTCATCTGCGCAAAGCTGAGAAAATTATCTTTACCAATGAGATTACCTGATTAAGGAGTATGAACATATGAAATTTTGATAAGAGATTTCCAAATTGACCCCAAAACAGTGGTAACAATTTTTGTTTCTATCAGCATTGAGAGAGTTAAGAAAGATGTAGTTAACAAGAAAGCTAAGAACATAGTGTTAAATAGAAATCTATGGGTTTGGCCGGGCATGGTGGCTCACGCCTGTAATCCCAGCACTTTGGGAGGCCGAGGCGGGTGGATCACAAGGTCAAGAGATCAAGACCATCCTGGTCAACATGGTGAAACCCCGTCTCTACTAAAAATACAAAAAATCAGCTGGGCATGGTGGCGCGTGCCTGTAATCCCAGCTACTCAGGAGGCTGAGGCAGGAGAATTGCCTGAACCCAGGAGGCGGAGGTTGCAGTTAGCCGAGATCGCGCCATTGCACTCCAGCCTGGGTAACAAGAGCGAAACTCCGTCTCAAAAAAAAAAAAAAAAAAATCTATGGGTTTATATAGTTTTCAAATCTATTGTGTTTTTACATCTTATATCTTCTTATGGTCTCATTCAACCTTAGGGATGTGGAAGGGTGATTATATTTCCATTTTGAAGATTAGAAAACAGATTTAGAGAAAGAAAGTGACTTGCCCAATATGAGATCAAGGCAGGGTCAGATGTTCAAATTCAGATGCTCAGTAAGCACTCAGGAAGGATTGAATGAATAAGGGCTTTCATTCTTTTCACTTGAATGCTCTTCAATGATGGAAACACCTGTACTGTCCAATAGGGCTGCCACTAGTTGCCTGTGACTGTTGAACACTCGAAATATTCCCAGTGCAACTAAGAAGTTGAGTTATTTATTTATTTTTATTTTCATTTATTTATTTTTTGAGACAGAGTCTCACTCTGTTGCCCAGGCTGGAGTGCAGTGGCATGATCTCAGTTCACTTCAACTTCTGCCTTCCAGGTTCAAGTGATTCTCCTACTTCAGCCTCCTGAGTAGCTGGGACTATAGGTGTGCGACACTGCACCTGGCTAATTTTTGTGTTTATCGTAGAGATGGGGTTTCACCATGTTGTCCAGGCTGGTCTTGAACTCCTGATCTCAGTTTATCTGCCTGCCTCGGCCTCCCAAAATGTTTGGATTACAGGCATGAGCCACTGTGCCCAGCCTATTTTTAAAAATTTTTAATTGCCACATATGGCTACTGGCTGTGATAACAGATAGTGTAGTATACCATACCAGGCCTCTCCAAACTTCTGTATGGTTAAAAATCACTTCAGGTGCTTGTAAAATGTAGGTTTGCCTCCTCTCTAGGTTGTGGCCTGGCAATGTACATTTCTAAAGAAACTCTGGTGCTTCTGATATGGCTGGTCCTCACCATGAGAAACATTGAGGTGGAATTTCTTAGGTTTCTTGGGGTAACATAATTCAAATTAGTAAGGGAACTAGAAATTCATGGGTCAAACCTTTAAGTCATTCTCTTTTATCATATGATTTTCCCCCAATTATAGGTTTTCACACAGCATATATATAAAATGTAGTAATAGCTTCTGATGGGAACACTTGATTCAATATCTCAATCTGCATGCTATAAATAACCCTGGAGCTGCTGATGAACTGGCAGATGAGATTAATTCACTCTCAACAAATAGCTTTAGAGAGATCTTTTGCTCTAAACTCCCATTTTAGCTGAAACAATCTTCCGATGTTAGAGCAGTGGTTCTTATGGGCTGGTTTCCAGGCTGGCATCCTCCTCCTTCTCATCTGGGAGAACATTCTTGGGCTGGGTACAGTGGTTAGAAATGCACATTCTTGGGCCGGGTACAGTGGTTCATGCCTGTAATCCCAACACTCTGGGAGGCCGAGGCTGTAGGGTCACGTGAGCGTAGGAGTTGGAGACCAGCATGGGCAACAGAGTGAGACCCTGTCTCTATTAATAAAAAGAAGAAATGCAAATTCTTGAATTTCACCCCAAACTTAGTCAATCAGAAACTCTGGGAATTGACCCAGCAATCTATGTTTTGCTTTTTTTTAAACGGAGTTTCACTCTTGTTGCCCAGGCTGGAGTGCAATGGTGCGATCTCAGCTCACTTCAACCTCTGCCTCCCAGATTCAAGTGATTGATCCTCAGCCTCCAAGTAGCTGGGATTACAGGCATGCGTCACCATGCCCAGCTAATTTTGTATTTTTAGTAGAGACAGGGTTTCTCCATGTTGGTCAGGCTGGTCTCGAACTCCTTACCTCAGATGATCCACCCATCTCGGCCTCTGAAACTGCTGGGATTACAGGCATGAGCCACGATGCCTGGCACAATCTATGTTTTACCAGGCCTTTCAGGTGATTTGGATGCCTGCTAAATCTGAAAACCACTGGGTTAGAGGATGAAATGTATGGGAAGTTTGAGCATCAGAAGGCTTTTCATTTGTCTCTTTCTCTAGTTATATTGAGCTAAAATGATCTGAACATATTGACAGCTTTCCTGCTGTTTAGTGAGTAAGGTGAAATAACTAAATTAGCATTAAAGTGAAGATCCACATCCTGGCCTACATAGTGAAATCCCGTCTCTACTAAAAATACAAAAATTAGCTGGGCGTGGTGGCATGCGCCTGTAGTCCTAGCTACTTGGGAGGCTGAGGCAGGAGAATTGCTTGAACCCAGGAGGCAGAGGTTGCAGTGAGCTGAGATTGCGCCACTGCACTCCAGCCTGGTGCCTGGAGACGAAGCAAGACTCTGTCTCAAAAAACAAAAACAAAAAGTCACGTTCCAAAAGTTCTTCGTTAGATCTCAGATTTTGCATTAAGATGGTTTTGGGATCTGCATCCTCTCAGTGGGATATTGTCAACATTCTGCTAATTAATGGTGACTATAAAGACCAAGTATTAATGGTTCATGAATACTAAACCTTCATCAGTCCCCAAATACCTTTAAAGATATGAAGTACTTTGACAACAAAAGCCTGTGTTGAAATCTAAAACCTCCATTGCTTGTTCTCATCAAAGTAGCTATCTAGGTAGCATGTTCTCTGATGCAGGAGTTGACTTCTGTTTCTTCAAACCTCTTTCCCTTTAGACGTTTTGGAATAATGGGACTCTACAAAGGCCTTGAAGCCAAACTGTTGCAGACAGTCCTCACTGCTGCTCTCATGTTCCTTGTTTATGAGAAACTGACAGCTGCCACCTTCACAGTTATGGGGCTGAAGAGTGCACACCAACACTGAGACGCCGTCCCATGAAAAATTCCGAAGATGCTCAAAAGGGAGGTTTCCTCCTGAGTAAAGAGAAGTGATTCTCCTTTGACTCGCTCCTGCCACCACAAACGTTACCCTCATTGGCTTGAAAAGCATCCAAGGGTGAACAGGGAGTATGGCCACCTGAACCTGTTGTCACCTTAATTGTTATGCTGGCTGGTTGGATTTTTGGGGTGGCAGTTGGACTAATATGGAAAAAAACATTGTTGAAAACCTCAATATGAAAGTTTTTGAGTGTTTATTGGTTAAGAGAAATGGACTATTTTGCTCTCGTATATCATCTTTTCTATTTAAGTTTTTCTTAAATATACCAGCTGTTCTCTTTCCATGAACTCTCCCGCAGGTTCTAGGACAAATTTAATAACATGTAATTCTCCTCAAATACTTTTGTATGTGTCAGTGTTGGTATTTTCCTCTCTCAAACTAATATTAGGACTTCGCCATGGGCATGACTTTGTTTTTCTTGGGCTTTTTTTCTCCTGCTTAAGGAGAGGTGTCTTTTTTATTTTTAGGATATGAGCTATTTATTTTGTGAGATGAAAATTGTTAATCCCAAATGATTCTTTTACAAACTATTTGTGAATGTCACTTATTCATTAGTGTTTGACATAATTTTTAAAATATTTATTTTGAATCAATCCTTTCATTACAAAAGCCTTGAGGTTTGTGCCCATCCACACAAGCCCTGGTCAGTCAAGTCCCAATAAATGGTCAACACAAACAAGATATTCTTGAAAATTGCTCTTTATTAAGGTATTACACTGAGTTTGCAACCAGATGGGAAAAATTACAAAAAAGAGAAGGGAAGCAGATATCTTTTTGAGGTCTGGCATGTTATCTCCCTTTATAAACTTGGTATAGGCTATATATTTTGAAAATAAACATCTTGTTGAGGTTATTTCATTTGGAAACCTTCCTTAGAGTCCTATTGCTAAAGTGTGGTCCATCAGACAGTAACACAGCCATGAGCTGAGAGCTGGCTGGGCATGCAGCCCAGAGTTTGTGAATCCTGTTCCATATTTTAACATCCTCAGGTGATTCACAGTCACATTCAAGTTCAGGAGACCATAGGACCCCTGACCCATCAGAAGAAGTGATTGGTTTCAATTATAGCAATCAAGATAGGCCAGGCGAGGTGGCTTACACCTATAATCCCAGCACTTTGGGGAGCCAAGGCGGGTGGATCACAAGGTCAGGAGTTCAAGACCAACCTGATCAACATGGTGAAACACCATCTCTACTAAAACTACCAAAATTACCCAGGCGTGGTGACACACACCTATAACCCCAGCTACTCAGGAGGCTGAGGCAGGAGAATCACTTGAACCTGGGAGGTGGAAGTCACAGGAGCTGAGATCGCACCATTGTACTCCAGCCTGGAGACAGAGCAAGACTTCATCTCCAAACAAGAAAAAAAAAAGAAATCAAGATAAAGATTTTTCACAGAGGAAAGATAGATTAATGTATTCAAACAACCTCTGAAAAATCTAGAAGTCCTATGTCACCTTTTGCTTTCACCTCGCAGCACGTTTTTAAGGTGGTAGAGCTTTTATTATGTGGCTAGGAGAGGATTTAGATATCTTGATCCTCTCTAGAAGCAAATTCTCTTGACGTGAGTAGAGCAGTTCTTTGGATTTTTATGACTTAGTTTTTGTCCTTAAAACAAAATGACAGGTTTTTCATTTATAAGTCCATGATTCAGTCAGAGAGAGTAATAATGAAAGACTTCATTATTTAGGATTCTGTTCCATTTTGGGAGTGGAATTTTCCTTCTCTTACTTCCTCTCTTTAGTCCCTGTGGTAATTTCAAAGTATATGATTGTTAAAGATCATTGTATTATTCTAGCAAACAAAAATTAGCAGGAGCTAATAATCTGGGAAGAAGACTGAACATTCATTCCCTATTTAAGTCAGATAATTGAAGACAGAACTGTTTTTACTACTTTTTAATTTACTTTAAGGTTTTTGTGTGCCTGTGGCAGACCTTGAGTGGGAAGCACAAAATTATTTTGATTTCTGTATAGAAGAAAAACGATCATAAAGGTGCCATGTGTATTTTCATTGTTTTAATTATGCTGTTCCCTTTGGAACTTCAATTTTGAACTAGTATATTGTGAGTTGGTATGTTAGGATAATTTCCAATTCAAATTATTTCTCTGTTAGGTATTTATGATGTGAGAATGTGTTTGATGCTTTTCTTTTTCTGATTTTATGAGGAAACAATTTAACGTTGAGGGTTATGTTCCTTATGGAAATTTACAGACTCACTAGTTGAAACTAGGTAGTAACACACCTAGTTTTATAACCATTGGTTAATAATAATTTGTTTGAGAAAACTAAAGAGCTGAAGTCTGTACTAGGGAAATGGAATTTTATTTTTTTTCCTGAGACGGAGTCTCACTCTGTCACCCAGGATGGAGTTCAGTGGCTTGATCTCAGCTCACCACAACCTCCGCCTCCTGGGCTCAAGTGATTCTCCTGCCTCAGCTTCCCTAGTAGCTGGGACTAGAGGCGTGCACCACCATGCCCAGCTAATTTTTTTGTATTTATTGTAGAGACAGGGTTTCACCACATTGGCCAGGCTGGTTTTGAACTCCTGACCTCAGGTGATCCACCCGTCTCAGCCTCCCAAAGTGCTGGGATTATGGGCATGAGCCACCATACCCAGAAAATGGAAATTTGTTATTTTTAATACTTTGTGCAGTTTCTCTAGAATATAAGGATTAAGAACCTTAGGGATTATATTAGTATCACAGCAGTAGAAAATTTAATTTTTGTAAGTATTTAATGTGTGCTTTGAAGTGGGCACTGTAATATTTCTACCCTTGTCTGTTCTACAGTTAAGTATGAAATGCAGAAATAGATTTATCATAAGAACGTATTCAATGGGAGTTAGAAATCTTGGGTTTTATTCCCAGCTCTGTTGCTGGCTAGCATATTACATCATCTCTTTGTAATTTGCTGTTTAATAAGTGGAGATAATACTCACTACCCACTTCAGAGGACATTTGAGAGCTAATGATGTCAGCTAAATCCCTTTATGACTGGGATAGGGAAGATCTGAGTGAAACTTCAGACAGTACCTAGATTTATATAGAAGTTTTCCTTTTTATAGCTTATATACTTTCTCATTTTATAATCCTAATATTTCTGTGAAATAGGTAGGGACAAGTAACAATATCCTCATTTAATTAACAAGGCATTTGAGAGAGAACTATCAAATGACTTGCCTCTTTGGAGGCAGGACTAGAGTTGAGTTTCCTGCAGTGTAGTGTAATGATTAAGAGAATGGGTTCTGGAATTAGATAGACCTAGGTTCAAACTCTTGTCCCACTCCATATCAGCTGCGGTAACAAAGCAATTACTGGACTTTTATGAAACTTGGTTTCCTCAACTATGAAATGGAGATCTTGATAAATCTACCTCATAGGACAAATGAGAATTAAATGAGATCATATGCATAAGTCAGTTAGCACAGTGCTTGCCACATGAGAAGAACTAGATAAATGTTAGCGAAAACTGTTATGGTGATATCATTGTTACTGGTTAAGGATATGGCTATTTGAATAGATGTATCTGTGGTTTAGCGGAAGGCACTCTGGATTTTGAGCCAGATCTGGTCCCAGTTTTCATTCTGCCGCTTATTAGCATTGTGGCTACAGACAAATCACTTGACCTTTTTGAGCTTCCAGGTCTTCATCTGTCAAGTAGAAATGATGACCTCTCAAAGCCATTCTGATGATCAAGAGCTGTAGATGTGAGAGAGTGTCTGACACAGTATAGGGCATATATATGTGCTTAATAAAAGCTGTTTGGGGCTGGGTGTGATGGCTCACACCTGTAATCCCAGCACTTTGGGAGGCTGAGGCAGGCGGATCATAACGTCAGGAGATCAAGACCATCCTGGCCAACATGGTGAAACCCTGTCTCTACTAAAAAACAAAAAATTAGCTGGGCGTGATGGCACGCACCAGTAGTCCCAGCTACTTGGGAGGCTGAGGCAGGGGAATTGCTTGAACCTGGGAGACAGAGGTTGCAGTCAACTGAGATCGCGCCACTGCACTCTAGCCTGGGCAACAGAACAGCAAGCCTCTGTCTCAAAAAAAAAAAAAAAAAGAGCTGTTTGAACCAAGCAAATGAACTAGGTTTTACTTCAGGGCAACTTTTCCTCTTTCCATTTTTTTTAATTGTGAACATTTCTTTTCTGGGAGCCTTACTTTGTTGCATCTCCTCAAAAAGAAGACAAATCCAGTAATTTTATATTTTATTTAGTCAAGTTTCCCAAACACTTATCAGTTAAACAGTAAAACATAAACTCACTTAAACAGTAGGCCGGGCATGGTGGCTCACGCCTGTAATCACAGCACTTTGGGAGGCCGAGGTGGGCCGGAGCACAAGGTCAAGAGATCAAGACCATCCTGGTTAACACTGTGAAACCCCATCTCTACTAAAAATACAAAAAAATGCCGGGCGCGGTGGCTCAAGCCTGTAATCCCAGCACTTTGGGAGGCCGAGGTGGGTGGATCACGAGGTCAAGAGATCGAGACCATCCTGGTCAACACAGTGAAACCCCGTCTCTACTACAAATACAAAAATTCAGCTGGGCATGGTGGCGCGTGCCTGTAATCCCAGCGACTCAGGAGGCTGAGGCAGGAGAATTGCCTGAACCCAGGAGGCGGAGGTTGCGGTGAGCCGAGAT